CCAGTGGGCCAGATTCGGCCCACCAGGCGATTCCATCCAGCCTGCGGGCCCCCTTCATAAGCCCTGGGTCTGAGCTGCCCCTCTGCAAGCCAGGCACCCCCTACCCCAGCCTGGCCTGACTTGCCCCAGCCTGGTGCCAGGGGGTGCCAGATACAAGAAACCCATGAATGGCAGAGGTTTTTGCCTGGCTGCCCCATGGCTGTTCCCAGCCTCCCTGCCTTAAGCATGGGAATACAGGTATGGCCCCTCTGGGCTGGGGCCAGGGATTCCTGCTGGGGGAAAGAGGGCAGGAGCGCGGGTTGCTGCATGCTATGGGGCCAGGCTTGGCTGGCCCAGCACACTGCAGCAGTGTGGGAGCTGCATGCTACAGGCTGGGTGGGGTTGGCCCTGCATGCTGCTACCACATGCAGATCCAGGAACTTGAACACCCCAGGGACTCTGTAACCCGCCCCCCCAACACACACATGCACCCATACCCTCCTACACACCCCGCCCCCACCATACCCCCAAACACACCCACAGCCTCCCACACACCCCCTACATCAGGGTTGGGCAATTATTTCAGGCAGAGGGCCGCTTACTGAGTTTTGGCAAGCCATTGAGGGCTCCATGACAGGCAGCCAGGGGCAGATAAATATAAATTTTCTAAATTTTTTAGGTGCCCCGCGGGCCAGATAGAATGGCCTGGCAGGCTGCGGGCCACATTTTTCCCGCCCCTGCCCTACATATACACCTTTGCTCCCTGCACGTGATATACAAGAGTAACACTGTATTTTAAGCTATTATGCAATTGCCTCTAGATACACTATGCAGATGCACACAAATCAGGACAAATATATATATTGAAATAAACTTAAAATAAGTTATTGTCAATGTCTGGGTTTTGGCTTATTTATTTTTTAGTACGTTTTGTTTGTTTTTTCCAGTTGCAAGATGGCAACCTCCATCCCAAAAGAAGTACTTCTGGGGCAAGGGGCGGGGCTTCCAGTGGCAAAGGTCAGGTGCTGGGGTGGGATTCCCGGTCTCAAGATGGGGGTGGGGATACCCTTGTAGCCCTCTAGCTGAGATAACTGCCTGCTCCTGCTATGTAGTCATGACTTGAATTTCTAATAATAAGCAGCAAGCAGTAAAACTTTTAGATCTCTTACGTATCTTAGTTGTGGGAGGAAATAGCCATGAGATCTGCATTCATTCCTTATAGATAGCTGAGTGCTTTGTTACCTGGGAACGTGGCCTGCTGAGAATTCTTGATCTGAAACCGATATGTTATGTACAGTTTTTGTACGTTCCTTCCCCTTCTTTCTCTGTGACAACTAGGTTTTTGTAACCTTTCCAGTTATGCTGGATGTATGTTCTCCTACTAGAGGGCTTCTCTGTGTTAAAGTGAACACACAGCCCTGTGTGCCAGCTCTTTCCCTCTCTAATTAAAACAAGTTAATAATGATGAAGTTAGAGCTACACACTGTATGTGTATACAAACAAACAGATCCTTCCATTTCAGCTTATTACATTTCACTTGGTAAACTAGCGCTCAAGTACATCTCAACTCACCCACTGAAACTGCAGAAAAGTGGGCATCAATATTAGTCAAGACATACATCTGGGTGTAGGAATACTTGATGTAGTGTAATACAGTTCTGGAAAAAGAGAACTCTGGAAGACTGGAGAATCCAATCCTATTTCAGATGACCACCAATTACCTTGCTTGAAGATTTTGGACAATAAAAATTTGCAGGGATCTGGAGCTTTGTCCTTTGGCAAAAAAGAAATTGGAAGTAGGATCCAGACTGGAGGTGACAGCAGAAAGGCCAGTGGATTTAGTGTAAATGCCAAGCATGTCAGAGAATAGTGATTCTAATAGCCACTGGCAAAAAAACTTCTTTTTCTAGGTAGTAATGCATATAATATTGGCTTGGTTCATGCTGGATGTTTTAAAAAAAATATTTAGCTAGGTTACTGTTAAAAATGAAAGTGCTACAGTTTCAATCCTACAATGGGATGTAACTTTTTTCCCCCCATAGGTGTGACAAGTTGGGTTGACAACTGGAAAAGTAATGCCTGAAAACAAGTACAGGAAGAAGTGTAATAAACAAAGGGGACTTTGAAACACTTGATAAGCTTACAGAGGGCATGGAAATAAAGTGGGTAAGTGCTAATTTGTTCTGTGTATCCTATCACAATTACAATACTCTACCATCTAAAGTATTTTTTTCCCTTGATGCTCTAATCCGTGAAAAAAATTAGTAAAAGCATAAATGATACATATCCAGTGCCTGTTCCTTCCAAAATAAGAGATATTTTGTTACCAAGTTTAAAAATATTTGAATCTGTCAAATAATAAAAACACACTTCTTGACCACCGTTTGTTTTGTTTTGTTTTTAAATCACCTCTTATAAAGGTGCAAATTAGTAAATCTATATGGTATTTCCAGGAAAAGGAGGACAAAGATTTGATCTAAGCTAAAATACTGAACTGATTTCATAGGGGATGGTCATAAGGCTGGAGTCCAAAATGTTATGATAAAAATAATCCTCACTTATTATTGAGAATTAATTCAGACTTTAAAAAAATCCTGGTTCCTTAGTCAGTGTAAATTGACACATTGATGTAATTGGACTGTGAAAGGTTTTTTTTCTGCATTAGCAGAACTGAAGTAACTTAACTAGGTAGGATATAAACCTGTGAAAACTAGAATTAGACAGTTTGGGTGAGGTTTTCCAAGAAAACTGCAACCATGAATATCCTTGTCTTTAAAATAATCACTTAAATACCATTTAAGAAGTGCTGTCTTCAACTTTGAGGTGAGAGAAGCACGATGGCAGGAGGCACTACGGGATCCTGCATCAGATCCCATTGCAACACATTGCCTGATTCCAGGTTTTCCCTGCACCAGCAATTTTTTCTCCCTGCACTCCCCTGGCAAGTTCCTAATAGGGGACCACCTCACAGCTCGGATCAGCTGAGGGTTGCTCAGGAACACGGGGACATCTTGGAAGGTTCCTGTGTGCTCCAGAAGCCAGACACTGGCCACACATTCAATTAAAGACATGACAGGAACCATCCATAAAGTTATTATGTATTTTGTGTAATAATTTTATGATGTATTCTTGGTTTTATTACATCATTACTTGATTGAATGTGTGGCCAGGTCACTACTGAAGACGTGATTAACTGGTTTATCATGTCTTAAGTGTAACGTGTCAGGGGCCTCAGAGACCAGTTTCATAATTCCCAGACACAATTATGTAATAATTACCTATAGAAATCATGGAAACTTTCCTTTGAGCATCGCCCTTAAAATTGCAGTAGTTTGAATGGAATAGGATTTCTTCCTGGCTGTGCCACAGAATGTCAGTATGATGCTGGGCAAGCCGTTTGAGGCCAACATTTTCACGTGAGTGAATCTGTGGCAGGATCAGTTTCTAGGTGTCTGACTGGACATAATGCTTTTGCAGATTTCTTTCTGGCTAAGCCCTTCTAACTAAAAGCAAAGCCAGTTGGAGTTGTATTTTGAACACTCAATTCTATTTTCTGAAAAGAACATCTCCATCTGTAATTCAGCATACAAAGGCCAAAATTGTCAATTTGTCCTAGTTCCACACCTGAACAAAAGGCAGCTAATGCAGTATATTCCTGTTCCCACAGATTCTGTTTTTCCCAACTGAATTATGCAAATAACTGGAAGGAAAGGGGCATGGCAGGGAACAGAAGCCATTCCCACCTCTGGCTAAAAGGGACATTGCATTGAAAGTTGCTTTACACATTTTGGGTTTTTTTGTTTTTGTCAGTACTTTGATAATGGCCCCTAAAATAGGCTATCTTATGTATGTCTAAAACTACCCACAAAGAAAAGAAACAGAAGTGTGAGCCTTTTGTACATAATCACTTTAAGCAACAGCAGAGTATCTAGTATCTATCTGTCATTATTGCAGCAGCAGCATAGTGGTGGGAATCAACACAATCTACAATATGCTTCCCCTTCCTTCCAGAGGCGAGTCATGTACCTATTTGACATAAAGGCAGCTTATCTTCCAAAACAAAATTAAAATAGGGGCTCTTAACTGCTCAGCCCTGAGGTACCATGACACAAGATGCTACAGAAGACCCTTAGATTAGACTATAAACTTCTATTCTTAGTTCTTACTTCCCAGTCTGTAGATGCTGAATTAAGCCTCTCTTTTTTGTGTCAAAATCATAATTTCTAGCAGATGAACCAAAAACAAAGTCTAAAATAAACCAACAATGTCCCTCAATATAGACACCCATTAAAAAAAAAAGTCAGTTGATTCTATAAGGTTTCTGAGTTGTTTGTTTATGGAGTTCCATTGCCTGATCAGAAAGGCAGTAACTCCTATTTTCAGTGCTGTGTCTCGGCCAGCCAGGAGGTTAAAGGCTTGATTTTTATGGCTGCTGAACACAGCTTGGGCTCCTACCAAAACTGAATATGCACTGAAAAATTAGTGCAGTCCCTGAATAAAACACACTTCCAGAACACGCACTGAAAACGTAACTGATAAGGAATGTCACCTTGCCCCAGTCAGGAGCGTGTGAATTTGTTTTTTAAAACTAATTGAAAAAATGATCGCTTTTACATAAAACACAGAGGAAAACTCATTTAAAAGTATGACGTTGTTTATCTGAAAAAAAAATATTATTTCACTGACTGATTCGTTGGTGGTGCGTAGGGGGTGCATGTGCATCCCCTTTGCGTGGCAGTGCACCCCCTGTGAAAAGGCGCCACCAACAGTCAGCGGCGCCTGCAGGCAGCCACCACTCACCCTCCCCCCTGCTTCTGACACTGCTGGTGGCGTTTGCAGGCAGTCCGCGATCGCTGCTGGCCTCCACCACTATTGCTGGCGTGTCTGTGGGTGGTCACCAACCATTGGTCAGTGCTCGCCATCCCCCGTGCTGCCAACAGCGCTGTGGCTGCCTGCGGCAGCTCCCCACTTGCCTCTGCCATGCTTCCACCACTAACAGGACTGCCGCCGCCTGCGGGAGCTCGTCGTGCCCCCCAGCCTCCAGGGGCACGTGGGATGACTTAATGCTGGTGTGTTAAACATGCAGTGGTTCAATAATCCACCTCCCAGTTCCGCCCAGTTGACCAGCACCCTGTGCTGGCCAGCCCAGGCCACATGCCGCGCTCCCTGTTCCCTGGGGCTGGGTCCCAGGCTGCGCTGCCCATGATGCTTGCTGGGGCCTGGTCTCAGGATGCGCTGCCCCCAGCACTTGCCTAGGCATGTGGGCCTGAGCTGGCCTTGGGGCCAGATGAGATTGACACCCTGGTGCCTTAATGCAACAAAAAAAGGGATAACCTGAATATCATATGGCCGAACGCTAGCCAGTGGTCTTTGCCTAGGAATCCTGACCAGTCTCGTAACCAGAGGAGGCTGATTTAAGACACAGTCATACATTCCTTAGTGTACATCTTGCCTCTGCCTGTCTGTCTTTTTCAGCTATCCCTCCATCTTACTTAGTTTAGAAGAAATCCCCCCAGTTTTTGCCTTGAGAGACCAAAGAGTGTTTTGAGGGAGGAGTGTCTGGCTTGATTTGCACAAGCACTTCATGAACTGAATTTCCAGCAGTACAGGGAGCTGGAGGAGATGCAAGCCTCCAGGCATCAGTGGGAGCATACAGGTTAGAGAAATCCTGCTGATCACTTCTGATCTTTCCCTTAGTTACTTTCAGATGCACCAAAACTCATTTGCTACACAATGTGCCATTCTCAGCATATGTTTTGAGAGCAGGAACAAAAGAGGATGGGTTAAAAATAATGAAAGCGAAGTATGCGTCTCCTCTGGTTCTTGCTATGGTCCATCTGTTTGTGGGCTGAAATCTGAGGTTTAAACATATTTATTTTCGGGTCCGGGTGTAAGCACAAGTACTTGCTTAAGGTCCCACAGAGATTCACAGCCCTGACTTCCAGGTTCAAAATTGTGGCAGGCTTTCACTAACTTTCCCTTGTGGCAGCAGAACCAAAGGAATAGGTGCTCCTCTGCTGCGGCAGTGAGCCTGGAATGCCTGAGCCTTGTGCCCCTGGTAGCAGGAACGGGGAGGCAAAGTCCTCACAGTTTGCTTCCTAGCTTTCTAGTTCATGGCTCTGCAAATGGTAAGTTGGCTGTGAGTGAAATGTGAACACAGTGCAGTGAGACACCAGGCTATCCTGCTCAAACCTGGAGCTCAACTAATTAGAAGCGAAGGTGAAATGAATGCTTAATAAGTGTATAAAAAAAAAGTCCAACAATAAAGTCTTAAATTGTTCTAAGTTCTACAAACCTCTGCCCCTGCTAGTATCTATGCTCTCCTTTTATCCTCTTCCCACTTGTGTTGCTTACAATCAGCTGGCCTAATTATCCCCTGTGCCTCTTCTTCCTCTTGTCTTTGCTCAATCTAGGCCACTTAGTCCTAAAACTTCTTTTCTTTTTAACAGTCATGCCTTTTGACCTTGCGGGCCAGATGCAAAGTCGGGGGCCTGTCTGCAGGCCATAACAGGCCCTGAAGCCCAGTGCCATCTCCCTCATCCCCCACACACCAAGATTGGGTCCCAGGGGCCTGACACTGGCCCCTCCTGCCCACTGCCCACTAGGATTGGGTCCTACAGTCCCAGCACTGCCTCCTCCCAGCTCTCTACACCAGGATTGGATCCTAGGACACAGCATTTCATAGTTTCATAGTTTCATAGATTTAGGGTCGGAAGGGACCTAGTAGATCTTCTAGCCCGACCCCCCGCCAGGGCAGGAGAACAACAAAACCCCAAAACAAAAATGGGACTCAAATGAGTCCAGCCAGGTAGGCATCCAGCCTCTTCTTAAAGACCCCCAGGGTAGGGGCCAGCACCACTTCCCTTGGAAGTTGGTTCCAGCTCCTAGCCGCCCTAACTGAAGCATTGTCCTTGCCTGGGTCATCACGCTGGAATTGAGTGACCCATCCAGTGCACAGGGCCTGTGGCTCCTCATGGGTCTGGAAACTCTCCCACAGTCAGATCCGTGAGGAGCCCTGTATGCCAGATAACGCAGTGCCGCAGACCGGAACTGGCTTACAGGCGAGAGGTTGAGCATACATTTTAAAACATGCTCCTTCAGGGATGTTTCTCAAAGAAACATACTGAGTTATAACTGGATTTGGC